CACCCATCCATCCATCCATCCATCCATCCATCCATCCATCCATTCACCCATCCATCCATCCATCCATCCATCCATCCATCCATCCATCCATCCACCCATCCATCCATCCATCCATCCATCCATCCATCCATGGACATCTAGGTTGCTTCCATTTATCCATACATCTGTTGATTGACAGCTAGGCTTCGTCCATTTCCGGAGTATGCAAGTATCTCTGTGGTATTCTGAGTTAAGGTCCTTCTGGGTTTGGCTTATTGAAGCAGCTCTGCACTGAATGACACAGTGGCTACCTCAGTTTACACCTCACCAGCAGCAAGAAAGGAGCCTCTTTCCAATATCCTCACCAGCATTTGTTATCCTACTTATTTATTTAGAGACAGGGTCTCACAATGTATACCTGGATAGCCTGCAACTTCTGTGTAGATCAGGCTGGCCTTGAACTCACAGAGATCCGACTGCCTCTACCTCCCAAATCCTGGGATTAAAGGTATACGACACCAATCTGACTGGGGTAAGACAGAATCTTAAAGTAATTTTATTTTTGCTTACTTATTGTTTTAATGTAAGTTCATGTGTGTTTGCATGACAGTGTATGCAGGCATGTGTGACTGTGAACATGCATGTATGTAGAGGTCAGAGGTCAACATTCTGTATTTTTCTCATTATCATTCATGGTTTATTTTTGAAACCAGATTTCTCACTGGGACCTAGGACTCATCAATTAGGCTAAGGTGACTGGTCAGTGAGGCCCAGGAATCTGCCTGTCTCTCCCTCCCCAGCTCTGGGATTCTGGTTCTGTACCACCATGCTGGCATTTCCTGTGGGTGCTAGGGACCCAACTCTAGTCTCCATGCGTTTCTGATGGTTAAGGATACCTTTTCAAATACTTCACTGGCTATTTATGTTTCTGCTTTTTAAATCTGCCTGTTCGGTTCATCATCCATTTACTGATTGGATAATTTGGAGCTTGGTGTTTTTGTTGTAATTGATTCATCTTTGATATTAGTCTCTGGTCGGATGTACAGCTGGTGTGTATTCTCTTCTCTCTGGTGATTGTTCTGTGCTGAACAGAAGCTTCATACCTGCATGGAATCCCGGTGTCACTTCCTGGGATTATTTCCTGGACTGTTGGGGATCCTGTTCAAAAAATTCTTGCCTGAGCGTTTTCCCTCCAAGCCCTCGTTGCCCTTTTCTTGGCGGCACCTGCTGCAGCTTGCTCAGGTTTGTTTTGTGATCCTTTGGCTGCTTTGTGTCTAATTCATTGTTTTCTCTCAGTGACAGGAACCCAGAAGGTGCTTGGTAAAGACACACTGGATTAGTGAGTGGCTGGCTGGCTGGCTGGCTGGCTGGCTGAGTGGATGGTAGAATGATGTGTCTGTCTGAGGTCTTTAATAGATTACCGTTACTGATCCTCTTGGGATCCCGGAGAGGTTATTATTATTGCTATATGCTACAGATGAGGAACAAGACAGAGATGAAGTAACTTCATAAGGTCATTGACAGAGAATAGTGCCGTAACAAATCAGTTTTAAAACCAACTGTATTGAATCCACATGAAAAGGAACCATAGAGCCTAGATCTGTGTGTTTCCCAGGGATGCTCAGGGAGGTGACAACTGTGACCAGAGGCAGCAGGACAAGGTGTGCTAGCTGACACTGGCCCTGCCTCTGCTGCTCCACAACCAGCCGATACTGAGCTTTAGCTATAACCTGGAACCTGAGCACACCTTTGACTTGGGAATGTGAGTGAGGCAAAAAATGCTTTTGACTCTTTCCAGACACATCAGCTTTTCTGACTCGACCATTCTTTACTATAGATGCCCCACAAATACTTTGTTCCAAAGGAGGAGAGAGCAAAGAACATGGGTGTCTTGGGGAAAATCCTTTCTATGTAAACAAAAGCCTGTTGTGGATAGGCAGGGAAGCAGGAGACAGAGATGTCCTAAATACCAACTATTGGCTAGGACTTGCTATGGGGTGTGTGTGTGTGTGTGTGTGTGTGTGATTTCTGTGCATATGACCATGTATGTCACTGAGTAAAAGAGTGTGAGCATGTGAATGTGTGTGTTACAGTTGGTTGGGCAGGATGATGCCCAGCTTTCAGCCAGAGAAACTCCATCACCTCCAACCTCCCAGCTCTGTGGTTTAAACATTTCTTCTCAAAGCCTGGGCCACCAAGGCGCCTGTCTGAGACTGTGCATCTCACTGGCCCACCAAAGGCAGTGTCTGAGGCTGTTTATCTCTGGCATCTGACAAGATAAGGAGCTTGGACCAAAACGTATTCAGCCACCTCATCAATCACGTTGCTGACTTGAGCTGACAGTTCTTACAGCCAGTCCTGGTCAATGAAGGAAGCAGCCAGCAGTTTATACTCTGGCTCAAGCCTGTCTCAACTCTGAGTACCTCCAGTGTCCACACACAGCAGTGCTAATGGGTGTTCTAATCATCACTGTCTTGTTAAAATGTAGATTCTGGGGTGAGGCCAGAGACATCCGTGTTGCTGGGTCTGGTGGCTGCTGACTTTTGGGACACACCGAACAGTAGGGTAGAAACATACAGATCTTGTAGGTTGGGAGGATCACTATTGTTCCCCTCACTGAAGACTGCCTGTGATTCCAGCTGTCATTCACAGAGGGAATACCACAAGGAGAAGAGTCCATGGCTGACTTATTTGGATAAGGACATTCTGAAGGAGGAGGGGTGTTTAATTCAATACCCTTGACTTCTTTCTTGTCTG